CCACTCTTGGGCATATATACCCAAGGAATGCTCAATCACACCTCAAGGGCACTTGCTCATCTATGTTCATATCAGCATTGTTTGTATTAGCCAGAACCTGGAAACAACCTAGATGCCCTTCAACTGAAGAATGGATTAATAAAATGTGGTACATATACACAATGGAATACTACTCATCAGAGAAAAACAATGACATCATGAGGTTTGCAGGCAAATGGATGGATCTAAAAAAAAAATCATCCTAGGACAGGACGCCCGGGCCGGTGTGGTGTGTCAGTGTGTATATGTGTGTGTGTGTGTATGTGTGTGTGTGTGTATGTGTGTGTGTGTGTGTGTGTGTGTATGTGTGTGTGTGTGTATGTGTGTGCGTGCGCGCGCGCGCCGCTCTGAGAGTGTGTGTTTGTGTATTGGCGGTCCGGCAGGTCCCGGATGTTGCGGGCAGTATGAGGCGAGCACAAGGGGACAGGGACCAGCTGCTGTCGCCGCCGTTCTCAGGGTGAAGAAAAGCCAGAAATCTTTGCCCCCTGACTTTGGAAACCCAATTTAACCTTCAAAATGGCGATGTCAAGGGTTCCAAGTCCTCCACCTCCGGCAGAAATGTCGAGTGGTCCCGTGGCAGAGAGCTGGTGCTATGCACAGGTGTTTGCGAGTAAACCCAAAAGGGCTGGATGAAGAAAGCAAAGATTACCGGTCACTTTACCTGTTATTGGTCAGTTGTCCAAAGAGTGAAGTTCGGGCAAAGTTCAAGTTCTCCATCCTGAATGCCAAGGGAGAAGAATCCAAAGCTATGGAGAGTCAGCGAGCTTATATGTTTGTGCAAGGCAAAGACCGGGGATTCAAAAAATTTATTCGTAGAGATTTTCTCTTGGATGAGGCCAATGGGCTTCTCCCTGATGACAAGCTCACCCTCTTCTGTGAGGTGAGTGTAGTACAAGATTCCGTCAATATTTCTGGACAGAATACCATGAACATGGTAAAGGTTCCTGAGTTCTGGCTGGCAGATGAATTAGGAGGGCTGTGGGAGAATTCTCGATTCACAGACTGCTGCCTGTGTGTGGCTGGCCAAGAATTCCAGGCTCACAAGGCCATCCTAGGAGCTCGGTCTCCAGTTTTCGGTGCCATGTTTGAACACGAAATGGAGGAGAGCAAAAAGAATTGGGTTGAAATTAACGACGTGGAGCCTGAAGTTTTCAAGGAAATGATGTGCTTCATTTACACGGGGAAGGCTCCAAACCTTGACAAAATGGCTGATGATTTGCTGGCAGCTGCTGACATGTATGCCCTGGAGCGTTTGAAGGTCATGTGCGAGGATGCCCTCTGCACTAACCTCTCGGTGGAGAACGCTGCAGAAATTCTCATCCTGGCTGACCTCCACAGTGCAGATCAACTGAAAACTCAGGCAGTGGATTTCATCAACTATCATGCTTCGGATGTCTTGGAGACCTCTGGGTGGAAGTCAATGGTGGTGTCACATCCCCACTTAGTGGCTGAAGCATACCGCTCTC